CTCTGGCAGGTATGTCGCAAGGTGTGCTCTGCCCCGACAACATCACGGTGGGCTGGCCACACGGTTCTACCCAGCCGCGTATACGGCCGACCGACCTGCTGCTGTTTCAGGTACGGTTACGCAGACTCGTGAGCGAACACTCCCATTGCAACGTCTGAGTGCGGTGCCAACCACTGACATGCGACAGCAGGACGGGTGCCTACTAGCTCCCCGCTGTGCTTCAGCAGAGCACAACAGTGGGCAACGGACTACCTCGCACGTCTAACCCATGCGCACAGAGACTGCACCTCTCAAGACATTTCGCTGGACCCGCCGATTCGGCAACGCAGACACTACACTGCCCCCCGAACTGGGCGCCCAGTTACGGGTTCCAGGCCTCCGGCGTCCTAGTCTGCAGGTAATTAGATAGCGCGCCAGCTCCTGGGCGGCAGGTCGATATACGCCCGGTCGGTGCCGGGCTCGGCCTGAAAGCAGACGAAGTGCAGCCCAGTCAAACACGCGCCCGGGGGGGGGGGGGGGGCAGCGCGACCGTCGCCTCGCCCTTAAAGCCAGCCATGTCGTCGTCGTCCACCTTCTCCGCCGCCCTCGCCCTTCTTCCCCTTCCTTCCTTACTCTTCTTCTTCTTTTCCTCCTCCTCGTCGGCCGCTGCTGCAGTAGGGGGTCTCCTTATAATATTAGTCCCGGATCCATCCACGGCCGCGGATGTATGTACACCACCGGATTCCTCGGGCAGGATATGGCACCGAGTGGGGCCATTCGGAATCGTAATAATAGTATTACCTAGACGACGACATACGGCGTACTTGGGCCGCCGCCGCCTCGCTCTCTCGATTAGCCGCCCGCCCTGTCCCCGCGACGAGGAAAGCAGTTTGGCTTCTGATCCCCTTTGACTGAAATCTCCCCACCATCGCGGCAGGCATTCTTCCTGAACCTTTTGCGCGCAGCTTAGCTTCCTCGTTCGAAGGGCCGTGCCCTGCTCCTCCTCCTCCTCCTCCTCATTATTACCCTCGATAAAAAAACGGCGCGGAACGTAGGCCCACAGGCAGCGGGGGCCGTCATTCCAGTGTTGCTAGCACACCGACGTTTCAAGCCACCTTGAGATAAATACTCGCGGGAAGTTGCATCTAATTAATCCTTTCGTCGAATGGCAGCGCAGCCTGATGCAACCTGCTGGCCAAGAGATGTCTTATAAAGCAATCTCTTATCACAGTGCGTCAATCCAAAGCCCCTGCTGCTTGTCTCTCTCTCGCCTGTGCTCGATCAAGCCGCTCGCTGTCTGGGAGCCACTACCGCCGATGAACAAACAAGCTGGCGAAATATGTTACTACCATCTCAGTAGTGTGAGCTGGCTCGTTATACTGCTACCAAAACACGTGATGTAACAGAACGCTCATCATTATCCCTTGTCATTACCCCTTTAAATCCTTGTTCCGAGAACCCCCTATGTGACGGACGGCACCAACTAAAGGTCAACGCCCCCATATAAAGCAACTAAATACATCTATGACACACCTAGATTTCTAGGTTTGTCAAGTGTATCGTATATCGCTCCTCGCCACCGCCATGTTTGTTTAAAGTCTGAGTAAAAAAAATTATACAGCTGGCCAGCTTGATTTTCACAAACCATGAGCTTACCCATTGTATCATCAAAAAACCCAGATCATTAAGAAGGAATGAAATCGTATGTTTCGTCTGTGTTGTTCAGGCAAGATATGTATACATCCCGCCCTCTCGTTCAATATAGTCCTTGTCAATCAACCTGTTTTTCTCATTAGCACTTTTACCCCAGTAATCCACAACAATGCAGGAGGGAGAGACTTACTTTTCAATATTGAGCTTAATGTCCGCCGGATCCACCGCTCCTCTGGCTTTCGTCTGGTTGATCACCTCTGCGACCAGTTGCTGGTGCGTCATTGTTTTCCTGCTCTTCATGATCCTGACGATGGCAGCTTGCGTCTCGAACTGCCTGTCCGCCTGCACCCTTTTGTGCGTCTCCTGGTTTTCCTCCTTTGTCTCCTTGAGTTGGATCTGGTTGATCTTGATCCGCACCTTGGGGTCGTAGAACGCCCGGTTTACCGTGAACGTGTCCGTATCACTCACGTCTTTCCCCTTCGGATGCTTTGCCAGTACCCGGATCTTGCCGCACGCCAGACTCTGCAGCGTCCTCTTCAGCTCCGGGCCAGGAAGGCCTGTTGACTGCAGGATCTGCTCGTACGACAGCACCGCCTCATCCTTTGGTTTCCCCTCCACCTCGTTGAAAAGTACCAACACCACCGCTTGGAAAGCACTGACGAGTAATTCCCTCACCCCCTTGTCAAACCTCGCCTTCACCACGCAGTGTGCTAGATTATGCTTCCACGTGAGCCGCCGACCGGTGTGCTTGTTCTTATAGTAGCTGTCAAACGCGGTGATCTCTTCCAGAACCTCCTGCGGCAGGTGCACCCGGACATCCGGGTAAGTAGGCCAGGCGGCCGCTGACAGAATATTGACGGTGAGATCGATTGCTTTGGAGGTCCGGCCCGTGCTGGACACAAAATCTCTGTAAGAAGCCATCTCGTCCTTGGCCAGCTCCTGGTCCTTGAACATCTGCTCGAGGTTGTGCGTGAAGCTGGAACCGCACTCACTCTTTAGCTTCTGCAGCATGTTGCGCTCCGCGTCTTGACTCGCGCTCCTGCCCATGAGCAACCGCCGCGCCAGGTCTTTCTTGTAGAAGGCCTCGAAGACGTCCTTGCCTTCGATGAACCGGAAGAGTTCTAGCGCATGGTCGAGTTGTCGGTCCAGCTCGGCGTCTTCATCACCAGTACTGGCAAGACCGCTCTTCTCGGCTGCTGCGCGGTCTTTGACGTCGGACAGTAGCGTCGCCGGCAACGTCTTCAACCCTCCCCTGAGAAGCATGTCGATATGCTTGGCCACCATCTCGCCGACTTTGGACGTGCCCGTGTTCCAGGATGAAGAATTCTTCTGGTCGTTGATAAAGTTTCCAAACTCTTCTCTCAGGCCGTAGGTAAAGTCCTCGTCCTTGCTGAACGCGTCGCGGATCATAATGTCGAGCGCCCTGCGGAGCTCCAGCAGGCGGACAACCATGTCGTCGCCACGCGCCGTATCACCGACAATTTCTGCGCCAGCCTTGCCGATGTAGTCCTCCCAAGGGTCGGTCAGCTTCTTCTGAATGCCCGACAGTTTCAGTAGGTCGTATAGCGCCTTCATGGACTCGACGTCATTGGCAGCCAGTAGTCTCGCGACGCTGCCGTTGTCGAGCAGCTTGGACGAGTACTTCTCGATCAGGATATGGTGCGCATCGTCGCGCAGCTGCCGCTTGGTGGTGCTGTCCAGGTTGTAGACGTCGCACCGCTCGCTCTCGCGCACGAGCAGCCGCTCGCAGGCGTTGATGTAGTCCTTCAGCCCGTAACTCACGCTGCGCTCCTCGGCAAACTCCAGGAAATATTCGTGCGACTCGGCCAGGAACCTCGGCTCAAACGACTTGCCGTAGACACCAAACAGACGCAGCATGGTCACCGAGTCCTTGAACAGCGCGCCGTCGAACCTCTCGTCCCCGCGACGGTCGTAGCCAACCAGCTCGCACATACCCGCCAACACGCGCGTGCCGGGTGGTGCCACTGCCGGCTTGTCCCCGTCGTCCCTATTGCTATGTGATGTCACGAAAACGGCCCTCCTGAACTGACTGATGCCCAGGTCATTGATCGTTTGCAACGTCTTGCTGTTCTTGAGCAAGAAGCTGCGGTCCAGAAAGCTGTATATCCACCTGATAATCAGAAGCTGCTCACTCCACCTCTTCCATTGCCCGAGCACGCTGCGCAGCACTGTCCCGTCACCCCCGGGCCCGGTTGCGCTTGTGCTGCCTGCCCGGATGCGGCCCAGAACCTGGTCGCCAGTCAGATGCGCCTCGCACCGTGAGCGCAACCGTTCCGCCAGGTCCGCTGACGCCGTCTCGCCCCTCCGGCATATATCCTCCACCCCCCGGTAAAGCAGCTCCCACGGCTGTTGCGTGGAATGCCCGGAGAAGATGGCGGTCAGCGCCGCATCCAGCTCTTGCCATATCCGCTCGTAGTACTGGTCGACTCGGGCTGTGGTGGGGGCTCGTAGGTTCTTGATCACGAGCTTCTTCGCTCCCTTGTGCGGTTGGAGTGTCGATGTTGCAAGCTGCCGTCTGCTTCCGCCGAAGCCGCTGTTGTGCATGGCAAGGTCGTGCGTGGTGAGGTCAATCACCTCGGGGCGCTTGCCCTGGACCTTTGCCGACACGCTGGCAGAATATGTAGGCATTTCGTTGACTTCCGAGCGAGCGCGCTTCGGATCCGGAGCAGCCGCTGTGCTCGAAGTCGACTGCACCTTCGACGGGATCGAGTCGACACGATGCCTCCGCTTGCTGGAAGGCTGCGGCGATGACGACGGCGGGTGGGCTGTGGGACCGTCGAAGGGCGAGGGTGAGCCTGAGGTTGTTGAAGGCATATGGACCTCGAGAGGTCCTCCGCTACAGTCTGTTGCCACACAGATCTTGTAGCTTTAGCTTTCTTTGTTGGGTTAGAGCTTCAGGATAGAGCGGGATTCCCCAATGCTGCCCAAACCTGACGTGTATGGAGTCGTCGGTGTCGCGAGATATTGCGCTTTCTCTCTTGGTTTGGAGATCGGTCGTAGGCCACTCGCGTTTGTCGTCGGTTGTGAGCTCCCGATGTATGACGGAGCGTACCGCGCGGGACCCGACGTTAACTCCAGTACAGTGTGGCCGCAGTCGCATTTGCGAGTAGATTTGGTGCCCGATCTCGCACTGTCCTTAGAACCCCGCAGTGGGGTTTTCGATGTGAACGCGAGACTGGGTCGTCTGGACTTTGGGTCATTAATTAATGTCTTCAGGATTGCTACTTTTTCAAGACACATGCTCTCTATGCCTCTGGAGCTTCACATTCTGTAGGTAGGTGCATAAGTTTTCCGTCTCGCAGAGCTGTCAACTTATTCCACTCTGATTGAGCCTTCGGATATGCAACGCCCGCATGGCTAAGTGGTATAGCGTATCACTAGTAAAAAGCGACCTCAGGGGATTCCCAAGGAGTCGTGCTAGGATAATGATAAGGTCATCAGTTCGATTCTGATTGTGGGCATCCCGCTCCCACTGCTTGGGTCTTAAATCAAGGATTTCACATTTTTGGTCATTCCAATGCTTTTGCTTGCTTTGGCAGGCATGTATCTTTTTGCATCTGCATAATGTGTTGAGTTGAGAGAGATACTTGATCTGAGTATTCCCTAAGGGACTAACTGAATAGTCTAGGCTCTCGCTAAGGTGCCGCTAGCATTGACACTCCTCTGCTCTCACGCTCTTAACCCTCATTTGGTCCTCAAATCGGCCTATTCTCTACTTAGAGTTATTGTATTGTGGTATAGTTCATCGCTCGGCGTTTGTAGGAGGCGCGGCATGTGAAGAGCCCATTTCCATTCAGGTCCCCTCCAAGATGTATGTAGTCTACTCTACCGCGCAACAAAAAATCCACGCCGAGGCTGCTGCGGCGCCCGATCCCTCGTCAACAACAGCTCTTTTAGGTTTCTTGACTGCTTGCTCAACTTGGGCGCCAGTTTCCCGTTCCCTTTATTTCTCATGACCCTGAACACCGTCGATCCTTGCCTTGCGTCCTTGATTGCCGGGCCCTCGCGATTGAACTTGATCTTCTTCTTGGACGCCGCTGAATCTGGTTCATAAGACCCATCGTCCTCCTCATCATCGTCCGAATCCAAGAGTTCAAGAGGAAGCAGTTTCGGAATCTCCCTTTTTCTCTTTTGTCCGGACTCCTCGGCACCGTCTTCCGCACTTGCTTCTTCATCTGACTGCTCTGCTGCTGGCGCCTTGGGATTAGTTCGCCTCCTGTCTCTGTCCTTTGCCTGTTCCTTGAAGAACGCATCACGCTCTTGGCGTTTACGTTTTTGCGCAGCAGCTTGTCTATTACCTGGTTAGCACTACGTTCCTAATAAATGGGTTGGGTGGTGAACCGACTGTTCAGCGGCTTTCGCAGCGGCTTCGGAAGCCTTCATAGACTGAGCCTCGGCAGCCTTGGTGGAGACGGCCTCTGGGGCCTCATCGTCATCTGAACCTTCCTCTGAATCTTCGTCGTCTTCGCTTTGCTCTTCGTTTGACTGAGACAATTTCCGCTCCAGAGGGTTTGATGACGGAGCTTCCCGGGGTGTCACAAACTCTTCGCGATCGCTGTCGTCAAAGCGGACGTGCGTCCTTCTCTCCATGGGCGTCTTGAAGATCTCCTCGTCTTCGTTTGTCTCCTGGCTGTTCGCAATCTCCTCTTTCTGGGAAGACCGCTTCGGAGACGAGGTTGGCATGGGGATCTCTAGTCTCACATGCCGGTGGTTCCCGACTGTGCTGGCCTCCTTTACATGCATAGCCAACTTGCGCTTTGTGCCCGATGATGCTAGTTCTGGTTGTTGAGATTCGACATGCTTGTCGTCTGATTGAGATCCTGTAGCAGGTTCACTGGCCTCAGATTTCTTCGTGGGCCTCTTCCGCTGAGGCGTGGTTTTTGGCGTCATTTTGACAATACCCCCGCAAAACAACCGGTTCTCGGAGAAGCGTGCTTTGATGTCTGATATTCCTTCAATGGCGAATCTGCCGGGACGTTTATTAGATATTTTGCTGTCAATGTCGTCGTTCAAGATATCAGTGAGGATTTCAGTTCACGCGGAAGTAGCAGCCCACCTCAGACTTTTTTTCCTGGTGGGATTAAACGGTGATTGGCCACAACGCTACTTCGGTTCCACATAAACTTAGATCCCTGCGCAAACAGTCCGTGAACGCCTGAACGCCCATTCTTAGCGCTACCAAGCTCGTGCAAGGGCCTCTGTTGACTTTGGTATCTCTCACTTAACTCCAGGCATCTCATTGATCATTCGCATCCGGCTCGCAACGAGAACCTGCACCTGAACTTTCTGAGACTCATGTAATGAGTTGAGACCAGCTGCATTATTATGGCTGGCTAGTTTGCGTTTAACAGCAAAACGGACCCGAAACCTTGAGACATGCGTTCACTCTCTGCTTTGGCGCCAGGAGGGCGGCGGCTCTTACGATTCGTCATTTTCAACGACGGCCCGCCTAGTCTGGCCTTCCAAACAGGAGGATCTCTCGCATGCCACAACAGTCAGGGATCGCAACAACGCCGCCAGTACGCATACCAAATGCCCTCTCCGACAGTTAGGCGCCAAGGGAGGCTAGAGAGGCAAGGGAAGAGCAGCTTGATATTTTCAGATGATGACGTTCCGCCTGTTGAGTTCTGGAAGCAGCGGGTACCCGCCATGGGACCCGGGGACTTGACTGCAGAGACGTGCTTCAATGCAGCAACTCAGTATTGCGCCTTGGCGACTCGGGTCAGCTCTACCTGGAAAGGCAAGCTCCAGAGGGGTAGGTAAAAGATTCTACTAGAGACTACAGCCGACGTGCTGTGCAAGGAAGAGAAGATGAACTAAATTCGGGGTAGACCACAACATTGACCTCTACACATTACACTACACGGCAAGCCTGCTCATGTCGGGCACACCAGGACCGTCTTGGCAGTTGGGTCTGCACATGCTAGGGACCGCTTTGGATCTCGACTACGCGCCGTCCACGCTGACGCTCATTCGTCTGCTCTCACGGTCGAAAAGCGGAAGCGATGTGCAGTCCAGCAAGCTATTCCGGGACGCAGAGAGACGGTTCAGCGCTCTCGTGAAAACCGGGAAAGACCCGGATGCGCTAACCCTGCAGGGCTTGTTGACGCTGCGTCGGAAGGAAGCAGTGGGCGGTGACCACAACAAACGTGCAGATGCAGCGGCGCTCAGTTGCTTCGATCGGGCTATCGAGGCGGCCGCGAAAAGCGGCAGCACCTACGCCCCACTGCCGGATCCCAACACCACGCCACAAGGAGACATTAGGAAGGACGCTGCCAGTGCCCCGCCAGGCGGTGAGATGCAGCACACAAAGAGGGAACCAAAATGGACCTGCGAAGCCGCGTGCCACCTCGGAAGGGGGCGTATACTGTCCACAAAGCAGGATGGCCACGAGGCGGCGGAAGCGGCATTCAAGATCGCGGCTCTGGAATTGGACATGCCCGAGGCCTATCTCGAGCTCGGCAAGATCATCCTTCGGACAGCTGGGCGGGAGAAGGAAGGTAACGAGTACCTCCTCAAGGCAGCGGTATCGGGCAATCAGGAAGCATGTCTCATACTTGCAGAAGCGGAGCTGCAGAGGTCCAACGAGGAGGGCCTGTCCAAGACACAAAAGAAGCACCACCAGCGACTGGCCGCGGAATGGTCCGACGTTGGGGGTGACGCAGGAGAAGCCGTTGGAGGGAATTGAGCCTTGTGATCACTGTGTCATATCGTTTTTGGCATACCCTTTTACACATGTACATTATATTGGATTTACCAGTACCATGGATCACCCCTGTTGTCTTTTATACAACATATTCAGGGTTTTTGTTCCCATCGCATGCGGTTGTTTCCACATACCTTCCATTCTTGAGCATCTGGGTGTCTATCAGTTCGTGTTTCCCGGTTTTAACATCTTCGGTACTGTAGCCATCTACCGTATGCGACAGCCCGTTACGACACGCGAGCAGCGCATTTGATCAACATTGCATCTTTGCTGTATATCATGTTGAAATGTTTACATCGTTCTTTCATCACCGATCAGATACGACTTTCCTTTCCTTTCTCTATGGTAGATCAGCGGCCACAAACGAAGGCCAACATCACAGGCAAGACAGGTAAAGATCAACAACCTCCTGCGCCCGTTGTATGCCCGTGTATGTATGTGTCCCGTACCGAGAATGCCGGATTTGTGGCACACAATTCGGAAAGCACTGTGCATCAGACATACAATCCAGATGCATCCATCTTTACGCCACAGTGAAGTGTATTAGCAATCCATCGCAAGCCACAAAAGAAACAAGTGTAAAATGGCGTGAGTGATCGGCAAAGATCTATGCTGGACTCGGTTGGCTTGCGGCACGTCTATTTCCACTCCTTTTGGTCCCACTTACGGCCACTCTCTCGAAGCCGCATTTGGTATAGCCATTGCCAAGGGCCCACCAATATGCGGCCGCGCATCGACTAGGCCGAAAACTGTTGGATTGACCGGAGTAAGCAGTGAGGCGCCCAGGAAAGGAAGACCCCTTGACTGCGTGGAAGCAGTGGATCTGGCCAACATGGAAGCCATGGAAGCCATGGAAGCCACTGAAGTCATGGAATGGGCGCTCAGCGCAGGAGATAGGGAGCGCCCGGGAGCTAGAGAAGTCTAATTGGCCGGTTGGCCCGAAGGCCCACAAATGTGGATGAATGATGATCCATTGATAGAACGGCTGTTCCGAAGCTCCCTCCCATATAGACTGCGCAGGCCAGCAATTAGCTAGCCAGAAGACAGAACACAAGCAAGACACTACTTTTGACCTCAATTGAACGTGTGTAAGTAAGCCGTGACTTCCAACAGTTATGAGCCCGGCTCGCAGATGACTTCCCCTGCGTTAACACCACTGTCTACCACTTATAAGCACCTAACAATATTAAAACAACCATGTTAATAAACGATAAGAAGATCTTCCTTGCTAGCTCTAAGGACTGGGAGGATTGGAACAACGAGTTTAAATTAAAGGCAGATGCATCCTAACTGTGGGATAAGATTAATCCCGAAACCTATAACTAAAAGGAATTCTTTACTAAGCTTTAAAGACTATAAGTAAGCGTATACGAAAAGAGGAAGGAACTCGGACCATTAAATGAACTATAAAGCATTATAAAGCTCTCACTTAAAGGACGAGTAAACTATTAAATAACGCTCTTACTTTATAAATAAGATTAAGCTAATTATAATAAAGAGACTAATAAGATTAAAGCCCTTAAGAATTAAGTTACGTTAATAATTAGCTTATATTTTATTAAAACTTTATATTTTATTAAAATTAATATTAAAGAATAATATAATAGCTTAAAGCTTTAAGTAAAAAGGATAAAAGTAAAAGAAAAGAAGTTTATTTAAAGTAATTATTAATAAGCAATTAAACCGCTTATAAAGCTACTTTACGATATAAGTAAGTGGATTTTAAAATAAAAGTAAGCATTCTATAAGGTAAGG